CCACTACGCACAAGGGCCTCGCCAGGCCCACCGACGCGAAAACACAAAAGGACACATGGTCGACAACAAGACTGACTTACTAAAGTCAACGGCAGCATGGCAGACGAGGGAGGTGGCAAAGGGCGCTACGCGCCGAGCCTCGCCCCGGCGGGGCGGACGGTGGTGACATCACACACCCAGAAAAACGAAAAGTTATCACAACCGTCCGATGGTTGTGAGAACCAAGTTTTAGGGTCGAGCAGGGACAACCATGAAATATGGCTGAATCAACAATGACCGTATTGTTAGGTTGATAGGTTAATACAGTTGTGGAGACAGGGATGGGGATGGGGTCAGGCTGACCATGTACCCCTTCTCTCAACCATGCACAACGTTGTGAGAATGCCAAGATCAGGCACTTACACAGCCTTCGTCTCTCTGAAGTTCTGAATTAACCAAACGTTATGGTTACAGTCCGACTCTCACCAGATCATGGTTGTGATAAACATGAGATATTTAATAAAGCACTAACAATATGTGACAGATAACAATGAGAACCCCTTAGTTTTGCATGATTGATATAGTTATGACGACAGTATACAGTGAACTGAACCATCACATGGTTAAGAGGCTCTCAACTAGAACTCTATGGTTGAGACAACTTTTCGTTTTTCATGGTGCACCAAAAGTGGACAACAACACACATCAACACAGAGTCTCACGTCTCAGGATTCAGACACAAAGATTGCCGTTCTCGCTTACCAAGGTTGCCGGGTTGTTCGATACTCAGTTGGCACATGGACCTCTCGTGTTAAGTTCGAGAAAAGTCCCAAAAAAACACCACAAACACGGCCAACGGCCACCACTCACCTCGCTGCACTCAGCACGGCTGCTCTGTCTCGTCTGCCTGCCGGCCGGCTTGCCTCACGTCAGCGACGCGATCCCTCGATCCCCATTGGTCAAGCCGCTCAGGTGATCAGGCCGGCGGCCGGGACACGCTGATAGGGCATTCCGCTGCAAGCGAACCGGAACCTAAAGAAGAAAAGCATGACTGCTCGGTCTGTTTCCCTCTGCGCGCTCGTTGGCCGACCGCCACAGCGACGCCATCTTTGGCCAATTAGCGTTCAGGAGGGAACAGATCGGGTAGTCATGCTTTTCTTCTTTAGGTTCCGATTGTGTTGTAGCGGAATACCCTATTGACGCGCGCGCTCAGGCGCCTACTGCTGGTTAATGACAACAAAGTTAGATGATATTTAAAATAGCAACATACTCTTAAATGCTTTTTGACATCTTTAAAGATTGATTGAAAATATACTGCAAATTGGGAGCTCTAAATTGTTGAATGTCACATACCTTCTCTAATCAGACAGCAACCTCATTCCCACAGCTATAGATGGTCCAGGAGAACAGTAATAACCTCTACATCTCCACACTCTGCACCAGAAGTATGATTGTCAATCAAAGATTATCCATTATTATCGGCCTGTTGGCTAGGCAGTGGTTCATAGGAGATCTGTTTAACCGACACACGGCTGTCATTCTTTAAATCTCACCGATTTTCTTTGATTAAAGAGGCTCACATTTTACCCATAGCTTTTAAATACCACAACAAAACAAACTGATTGGAAATACCTGGGTTGCTTACGCCTTCCACAAATATTTGCGAACACCCACAAGTATAGGCGCATTATACGCAGACGCGGTTTGGAAAGGCAGGGGGGGGGGGGAGGATGTGGAGAGAACCTAGCAGACGCTGTTGCTGTAGGTCTTCTTTGTTTAGTTTGTTCTTCACACTGTTGTTTTAGTTTGTTTGTCGGTGTATAATTTCGCGATTCTACACACTACACAGTGCGAGTGTAAGTTCCTCCAATTTTTGATTTGCGTTCGCTTTCTCTGGCTTCATTATTTCCGCTATTGTCAAGTTGTGGTGTCCTCTCCACTCAACATAACCTTCGCAACCCATTGTTGGCTGAGCGATTAGCAAAGCCCATTACTCCACTGACCCGAAAAGTTTCATTCTGTTTGTGTGTTTGTTTGTTTGTCTGTCCGCACGATAACTCGAGAATGAATTGAGATAGCGACCTGGGATTTTCAGGGTCGTTTTGTATCATAAAAAGACAGATCGAGTTCGAAGATGGGCATTCTAGCTCAAAAATTGGCTTTTAAAAAAATCAAAAACTACATGTCGCAATATGTATTTTTATCAAATATTTTTTATGGGTTCTTAGGGGTTAACTCGTCAAAGTAGAGCCCTTTGGGCGAAAATTTCGTCCGTTTTGCTCTATCTTGTACAGTTTCGGCGTTATGGGGCATTTCTTGGCGAAAACAATGTGAAAAAGACAAAATGGTCCATTAAATCGTAAAAAGGCTGCATGTCACAGGATTGTAAAGGGAGTAATACTTAAACCACAGGTCGCACTACACCCTGTTTTGGGCTTAAGGGTACCTAGATTACCTATTATCTCTACAACGTTGATTTTTACATAAGAATCTGTCAAAATTCAAACTTTTCATGAAAACCGTTACCGAACAGCAGAAGTTTCATGTCCCTAATTTTAGAGTAAAAAGGCCCCGACAAATGGTTCGAGTATGTCAAATTTTGGCCCCGGAAGGCCCTGTTCCTCAATACCCTCTCCTTAACTCGTCTCGGGTGTCAGCGCCGCAGGCCTAGCTATATGTGCGCCAGGCGCGTCGCAGCTTAACAGTGTTTCGTGAGATATCGCGAAGCCTGTTACGCGAGACGTGGTCTGGCGTACATATAGCTAGTTTTATTTTCACTTGGCTTGCCTCAGCCCTGCTTTTTCTGTTTGTTAGGGGAGGCGGGGAGTTTTCGGTCCTATCATCTGCATGGTTCTTGCAAATTTCCTCACTTGCTTTAGGTTGGCGAATAGATTACACTGCACCTAGATTTTAAAATGTCGCACTGATTATATTTGACTACTTGAACTAACGTATGATCTTATGATTTCAGGTACACTGCGTGAGACTGACTGCACGACTCTGCTCATTGCCATCCTGGTTACGGAGAATGACCAAGAAAACATACTTTTATAATGTGCTTATAATTGATTGATTAAACATATCAGCTGCCTTACCTTTCTACACCTTTCTCCCCGTGTCCCTTAATGAAATTAACATAGTGACATTTGTCACACTACATTACGAAGGGAAAGGATCCAATATTTTTATCACTTTGGTCGCTTACGGTGACTAACGATAAGTAGTAATCTGTATCCCGTACTTGGTTGATATATGAAGCACTTTACTTGACCCAGCAACTAAAACAAACCACAAATTATTATTGAATATTTCATTGTACCTTAGTCCTCTGCCAAAATTACAAGATTTTTTGAAGCCCTCATTGCTTAGGACTGAGGGTGTCAGGAAGACAAATTATTTTCATAATAGCATTCATTAAATCCAGGAATGTGACAAGGAAGAAATTTTGGGATCATCTATGACAGAAATCAGCAAATATGGTTTAGGCATCTGGTTTACAGTCCTGCACTTGCTGCAAGCTGCAAGCAGAAAGGTTTTCGCAGTGCTCTCTATCGGGCTGCATGCGAACTGTGCGTCGGTGATGCTACTCTCTATTGGAGCTGTGTGGAGTTGTTTGTATTTTGATTTTGTACCACGACTGGTATTTATTTCCATCGTAATCTTCATCCCCAATAAAGAAACTCATCGAGTGATTTGCAAGGTACTTCTGAACATTTCAAAGAATGTATTTTTCACATATGAGGTGTAAGAGGCAACTTGTGGTAGACTCTTGACTCTTGTTCCTCTCTGTCCTCGAGCATCAGATTTTGTTGATGAGAAACAATTTTGGTCAGGTTAACTGCCAAACTTTCACTACATAAAAATCCTAACTAGAAATAAAAATCACAATGCATGTGAAGGTTCATCCTTTATTTGAGGTCAGTCAAGTCCTCAATTAATATTAACAACAAGTTATGAAAATAAAAAAATCTAAAATAACAAATATAGCAATTATACAACTCTAATCTTCTATATTATATAATTGATAAAGGCATGGGTAAATTGCAACTTCATTTCTTTGGCAGGTTAATTTCAAATGTGGCAAAAAACTTTCCATAAGTTTTGTGTGGCCTCTGTTTCATAGTTGTAATGCAGAGACCACCATGGACAATTCTTTCTACAAGTCGAATGAAACTTTTGTATTCATTCGAGTAGGGCATTCCAAAGATGAAGTATGGAGCAAGCAAGAGCATGGCGCAGTCAATGGCTGTAGGATAATCCACTTTACCGAGCACAGCTCCATATCCCAGAAGGTACGCCGCCACTGCCTGAATGTCACCTGTGTGGAGCACCCGTGTGACAATCAGAATTGCTGGTGGGTGCTTTTCCTTGGCTGAAATGTTTAGCAAATTTCCTGTTCTTAGTTCATCTTCCTGTAAGGATAGTGACAAGTTTTTCATAACTGCGAAGTTTTTTGACTTGACTAATGGCCCTTCTGCCTCGGGGAAGGACAAAGTGAAGGCTCAGAGGGCAAATGTGACAGCCAAATCCCTGCACCACACTGAATGGCCGAAAATGCTAGAGTCCTTGAGGAAGTGGGTGTTCATTAGAAAAACCACGGGTGAACGACATATCCCCCCATGCATTTCTGGTTGGATGGATTCAGAAGAATTGGAAGAATTGCGGTCAAAGGGTCCTCAAACTGAGAAGTCTTAACTAGGACGCCTTAGAAAACCTCTTCGCATGCGTCTGGCAGTGTGTGGGCTCTGGGTCTGATCTCACCTGCCCCCAATTTACTGCTGCTCTGAAAACAAGTATCATTACCCGTTTCTCAGGCACTGTCAAAGACAAAAATTGCACTGATGATGGGTCCTACCTCCTCACTGATTGAAAGAGCTTGTTAGTTGAAAGATGTGATGCAGCCACCTCAACAAACCCACTAAGTCTCATCGAGGTGCCCTCCCACCAGAAATAGAAATTAATTTGCAATGTAAGAATCTGATAAAAATTGCAAGACAGGATCCAAGTTTCATCTGTGCTGTTTTTGCAACAGATGTCATGCCTGCAGGTTGTCAAAATTGCTGTCAGCATTTGACATCGACCTCTGATGCAACTCATTCTGCTTCTGCCCAAGTTCAATATGAACCATCCGAACAGCTTATGAATGCCTTCAGCAACTGCCAGTCTTCAGTCAATAACGAATGGAATAAACTATGCTACTCCACCCAAGTTTTTCGCGAGGTTACAAAAGTGTGTTCCAAAGAGTGTGACTGGAGCTGGTTAAGTTGTAGTGAGCATGCCATGGCTGTTACTCAGTCTCTGCAGCTCAAATTTACTTCTACTGTTATTGCAAGAAAATGTCGCAAAGTAAATTTGTCAATTAAAGGTAACTCCATAAAGCGAACCGGACAAGCTTTGGCAGGGGCTATCAAAGACATTGATGGACTGTTAGCTGAAGAGAATGAGTTTGAGCTGCACCCTGATGATTTAGAGCTGCTCAATTCTGAGGGCAATGGACATCAGCTCAGAACAGGTGTCTATGATTTGATGTTGTGTGTGGGCCTAGTAAATTTGGATAGGATTGGTTTAGCTGAATTTTCCCCTCTCCATCAGGGTACTTCTGTTAGTTATATGTTAGTTATATTAGTTAAAAGTTATTTCACCTCTTACATTTTTCATTTCAGAGCATCAAAAACATTTCCCTCTGTTTACAACACCGTCCTTCACTGTGAAAAATATCCTCATAAATTTACAAAAATTTTGTAAACACGAATTATAATTTAAGTTGTAAATTTACGACAGCATATGTTTTACTCGCCAAGGGATTTGAAGTCGATAATTACTGCATGTTTTTTTACGATTACAAATTGTAATTTTACAACTTGTGTCAAGAAACATTTTCCTGTAAACCTACCTACTTTTTTTCACAGTGTTGCAGAAGTTGTGGGTGTATCTAGAGAGTTCTTTGTGTGAACATGTGCATGATATCATTATTACTCATTTAGTGTGAGGGATGTTGAGAAGTAGGCCTTTTGTGTTGCATATATTTGGGGATACCTGCGAATGCATCATCATATGGTCCATATCTGTCAAGAAAAATTCCTGAAACGGATAAGTGTCTTTCATAATTCCTACCTTTCTTATCCATTCCATAGCTTCCTTGTTACATTTTTGTGTGCCTTTTCCAATCATTCATTTTCTTCTTCAATTTCATAATAAATGCCATGACTTATATTTTATTCGCGTGTATTTTACAGCCTTGGAGGCAACCCCACAACCACAACCCTCTCTATCTTCAAGGAGTGTGAGAACTCCCATTCTTGTGAGTATTTTTATTTGTAGCAACTATGCAACCAGAATTCATTTCCTTATGTCATCCAATATCTTTGTTTTCCTGTTCTGTTCAAATTTTGTATCAAATTCAGGTCCCAGGCCAATCTGGTATGGTGGGTATTTTCCCAGTGACACCCAGGACTCCAGCTGGACACCGTCCTGTATGTTCACAATTGGTTTCTTATAAAACAAAAATTGTCGTTCTACTGTTTTGTTTCTTTCTACAATTTATAATTTCTCCTCCGTCCAGCTACTCCATGGTCCAGGCTATTACCGCGGTCACTCCGCTTCCACCTTCCCTGCTGCCACCAAGCACTGGGAGGGCCAAGTGATGGCAGCTTGGAGTGGCTCTGTAAGCTCTGTACCAACGACTACTAATGTAGCTGTAAGTAGGATTTCCAGCAAAGCATTGTTCACATCTACTTCATACTTTTATTTGTTTATTTGTTTTCTCCTTTCTTCATCAGCCCAACCAATCTGACTCTATACCGCCTGTACATCCGAACGGCAGTAGTATGGAGGAGCTGGTTGCAAAGAAAATGGTAATTTTAGCTACTCTCAATGTGTCCTTTTTGCCTTTCTCCTATGTAAAACTTTCGTTACTGAGGTCTATTATTCCTCTTTGCAGGTCCATACACGAACTCTCCAGCCGTTACGGTCTTTCCTGAAGGGGAAAATCCCCAGAGAAACAGGAGTGAAAAAGGATGTCCTCGTGGATGCTGTTTACCACCATTTTCAAACATAATTATTTCATGTTATGGTTTTGTACATATTGTAATATTGGGGGAAACACGAGGGGATGCCGAATCAGAAACACTAGTAGGTCAGCTGAGTGGAGAATGGCGACGAGTCAAAGCCCGCGCCTCCTTTTATTGGGTGTCTGGCATAACAACAAGAAGAACAAAGGCGATCGTTAAACAATGGTAGGGTCTGTGTTCAACTGTAGATGTCGCTCAATAGTGATCACTAGTGGCCGTGACTTGTTTATGTTGGGATGTGGTCTGCTGTGACCAGGTTAGGTTATGTAGGGGTAAAACCTCATAATACTACATTATTCCTTCCTTTCATAGCACCCTTCTTTTGAAAGCTCATCAAAATTTATACAATGTCAAGAGCTTCGCCTTTGTTCCCGTTACAGACACTTGAATTGACTTTACATTTTTGTTTTGACTTCAAACAAACAGAATAGATTATTATTTTTAATTTTGTTAACTTAACTTAATCCTGAAAACTTCCACCT